GTCTGCAAATAAACATGGCCGTAGTTGTAAACAGCCAGTACGGCCATTCAATATTTATGATAAGAACCCGTCGAAGCGAGTGGTTTTGGGTTATCATTTTAGTTATAAAAATTTGTATAAAAAAGTCATAAACAATTGATATGAACAAAAATTTTAGTTAGACATGGAATCATGCAATAAAATCACATTCTTAGTTCATTTTTATTATCGGAAAATTAATATAGTCTGCATATTTCATATGAAAATTTGTGCAATTTTTTGAGATATAATAAGATATACCTATGTATATATATTATGCACATGTCAACGCACAAAATTCTTGACAGTTATATGGTAAGTTTTCTGATCATTTTTTTCTAGGAAATATTTTTAATGGATTAATTAAAATCCATAATGCTGTATAGTGCTGAAGTTTTTATGGACATTAAATTCAAATCTTAAATTCAGTCGGTTAGTTTCAGTTACTATTATAACTAAACTTTAAGTTCAAATATAGAAGTCAGTTACGCTTTGGGTCAGTTGATAAATGAACACTGAAAAGTTTCTAAGCGATATGTTAAGTAGACAATATCTTCTTCTCGCAACTCTTTTAATACATTTATTGTTACCAACTCATAATCTGGTTCTATGTACGGATTTAAGGTTTTTATGAATACGAGTGCTTTGTTTTTTCGAGAACTGATATATCGAAAAGTTCAATTCTTAAGTTTTTATTAGAGCGGTCCTCAAGTTTTGGAGTAGGAAACTCTTTTTTATTTGGTTCAAAAGTCTTGGTAGGATGATATGATCAACTCCTATGCAGAATTTAAAGCTTTTTATAATTTGATTAATTTAACGATACAAAAATATTAAGTAACCTGCTTATCTTCACTTAAAAGAAATTGGACTGAGTTCAAAATAAAAAATTTGACATATTTTGCCTGAAAAATATTTGATGAGCATTTTAAATCAAAATAATTGCTTGCATTATTTTTAATAATATAAAATTTATTTTTGTTTGCTGTATTTTAAATACAATACTAAATTTAAATAAAAAAGTAAATAAAATAGAACTGATTAAATTATTTTAATTTTTTTTCCCACCAACTAATGCACTTTGAACACTTGAATGTACAATAAAAATTTAAATAACATTTTTTCGGTTATCAAATATTTAGTCATTTTTTCGTCTGGGAGAAAAAGCACGTCTGAAGTGCCTCAAAAATTTCGGTATTTAAACTTAATTTTGTTTTTTTTACTTTTATTTCCATTGAAGAGTTTATAATGTATACAAAAATATTGTCTTTTTTTCATAATATTGATTTGAATTTTGCGTGTTATTGATCCATTCACTTTTCGTACTTCTCATCGCATATTCACCTTCTATTATTGCATTTATTGGAAATCTTATGTGAGTAAGATTGGGTCAAGTGGGTTTTTGTTAGAATTGCTTAAATATCAATAAATGTTCTGTAATTTTATTTTATTATTAATTACCATGAACATGCACAAATCGTTACTGTAATGTCTGTGAGTCAGAATACCATCGAGAAAATCGCCTGGACTGAATTTCGCTACATATTGCTTTTCTATCCAACATATTGTGTACTTAAAACCCCGATACTCTATTTTTAAGGCTAAAAAAAATTTAAAATGGATTAAATTGATTATCAGACAGGCACTAGCCAATGGACGACAAAGAGATTAATGTCTGGATAAAAAAAATTATATTATTCGAATGACTTGGGAATGTTGGATAATAGTTGGAACAAATGAATTAACCCGAAAGGAGATTAGAAAATGTGATTAGATTATTTTATGATAAACCAAATTGAATCCGTCTAAGAAAAAATATACTGTCTTATGATATTTCTGATTAAAAGTTATAAGTTCAAAGTTCGTTTTAAATTGCGAATACTTTCAAAATGCTTGCAAATTCTATCAAAATAATTCGTTAACCTTTTCCAAGAATTTCAATTTTTTAAAATCCGTTATTTTTTTTTTAATATTAACGTTTTATAAAGTGATATTTTACAGTGTACATAGGCTTTTTAAAAAGAATTAAAATATATAAAAAAATATATTAAACCAGTTCTACTATGCGGTTAAAGTCACTTGAAATTTTTTCCAAAGTGCATTATTCATTGTCTGCGTAATATATTCATTATGAGATCAATAGACCTACTAATATTTTAAGCATTTTCAGTTGTAGAGATGACTTTGACATTACACAGTATTTTATATACATATATAAGTAATTCGGATGAAGATATATGATAGCTGTTATAAAATTTAGCTAGGGTGTAAAGGAAGAAGATGCTTCGAGCAATAATGCTTTAGTGTTTAGTACATGAATTATTTGTAATAATTTTTAATCTTTGGATAATTCAAAGTGTTTATGAAAATGAGAGCTAAAAGTATCTCGCTATAGATAATTTTTTAAATTTAAAAAAGAATACATCGCTGAAAACTTGATCAAAAATATATTAAACTTATTAGGACTCTTTGTGCTAACCTTTCCTTGGACATACTATTACAGAAGTAATAGTAAAATAACTATTGCCAGTATTGAAGAAAATAGTCACTCTATCAAGGAGGATATTTTTAAACTTAATAGGACTCTTTGTGCTAACCTACCCTTGGACATACTATTACAGAAGTAATAGTAAAATGACTATTGCCAGTATTAAAGAAAATAGTCACTCTTTCAAGGGAGGATATCTTTAAACTTATTAGGACTCTTTGTGCTAATATTTCCTTGCCAGTATTGAAGAAAATAGTCACTCTATCAAGGGAGGATATCTTTAAGGTCGTGGCTTTTATATCCGAACACTGGTCACTTGCAAGGTAGAAAGATCTTCTCATATTGACTATATAGGTTGTAAAAACCAGAAAGATAAATATATATATGAACACCTCTTTCAAGCTAGAATTTGAAAAATGATTACTTTTGAAGGTAATCATAAGCTCTTTAACCGAGTTATCTAGCGCTAAGATTAAAAATGATTCAATAAGTAACAATAGTTAAGATCCTGTATTAACATATATTACCACAATGGAGAGTGGATTGGTCAAAAAAACCGGCCACCACAATAACTTTATCTTACTAATTGGAACTCTAAGCCACTCTATGTAATTATAAAAATGTGGTCAATTGACGTTAAACCTGATCGCATTGGCTTAGCTTAGCGCACATCACTCATGATAGTCAAAAATCGTTACTATTGATGCTACAATAATAATAAACAATAAAAAACTGCATTAAAACGTATTGCTTTTCTAATAAAAATTAGAAAGCCAGTTGATAATCAAGGTATGCACTTTTATCCGATTTAAGAAACATGGGTTAACAATTTTAGATTGAGGAAGCTTCCTTCACATTGGTACTCGCATTTGTTACTTTAAAACAAATACTCATTCAGTCAAGCATTTTTAAGGTTCTATTAGAACAGTTTAAGTAAAACCAGACGGATTGTATGCTCTGATTCAGCACCACTATATTCTGTGAACTAAAAAATAAAACAAAAACTGTAAAATTTGAAAGAGCTCCATAGAAAAGGAAGACTTAGCTGTCAGCTAGGAATAGCTTAAATAAAGTTTAGCATTTTCTGGAACAATTCTGAAGAAATTGTATATTATTATTATGAATCTCTTCCTTTTGTAAAAGGAAAAAGTTTGATTTGACTAAGAGAATGTATCAGCTCACACTTCGATAATAGACATTGTTAACTACATGAACTGCGCTTTGAGCTACCATTCAAGGCTAAAACTCTGAACTGACCATCATTCATTATTTTTATAATCCAAGTTGATTCAAAGAGTACAAATTTTTACAAAATGAATGCGATATAAGCCAACACTGCCGGAGAACAGCACTAAAAAGCCGGAATAATAATTCTGCAGAAAACATTAAGTTTTTGGTTATATAAATTAATATAAACAACATAAAATAGTATTAAATAAGAATTTCTTTTTTGTATATTGTTGGAACATATATGAGATTAATATTTTTGATCAGAGAGGAACTACTGCACCTCTATTGTTGTACAAATACTCTAATTTTTACGAAGTTACAGCAAATAAGAGAAATAAATGCCAGGTAACAGCACTGAAAAGTCAGACAAATAATTTTACAAAACATTACTGCAGAAAACATTTGTATATACATATTTTCAATGTAACAATATGGAGTAAGTTTAATAGATAAGTGCAGCAACCCGTAAGACTGAATGTAGAGATAATTCCTTCACATGCTTGCACTTCACACTTGACAGTGCAAAACTGGAATTCCGTATGAACGCTGATACAAGTCATCGAAAGGCGGGCAGTGTGCCACCCAAACACCACAGCTGTTTTAAATTTATGCAATGATTAATTAAATAAACTAAATATAAATGCGGAAGAATTTCACAATTTTTTTTTTTGAAATTCTGACGACGAAAACGATTAACTTTTAATTTCACTTCATAAAGTAAACGAATTATCGCATAGAAATACCTGACTTTGCTTATAGAAATAAAATTTCTTATCAGGCCTCACTATTAAGTATATTATGTGATTTGATAATCACACCCGACGTAGATAACATAGAAGTTTAAGGTAGTAACTTAATACTACATGATTTTTATCTGACAAAACACGTGTCATCAATTGCAAGTACATATGTGTACATTTATATGAATTAATAAAAAAAATAATTTATTTTATTTGAGCATTTTTTATTTTACATATGCATATTAATATAAAACAAAATTTAGCATAGCCTGAATATATTAAATATATGTTTTAGTTGCTTTTTAAACACAATTTAAGCTTTATGCTATCGAAGTTATTTACTTTCGAAAATTACTTCAAATAATTCTAATACATAACATTTAAAATAACCTCTTTTTTTCTTGCTTAGGAGTATATAAGAGAAACACTCAACTCTAAGGTGTATGGTACTACTAAAAATTTTTATGCCTCATTTTGACAGGATATGCGAGTTCTAATTTGCGTGTTTATTGGTGTAAATGTATAAGTGTGTGGTTGTAAATGTGTATAATGTATTTCGATATTTTAAACTTATATTATTATTTGTTTATAACAACTACCGGAGTTGAGAAGTAATACATTTCGATTGAATTTAAATATATGTTTGTTGAATTTAGGACGCAGAAGCAAAATATTCTTTAGATTTGGCTGGATCAGCAACCATAGTCTTATGACCAGGTTTCCAGTTAGCTGGGCATACCTCACCATGTTCATCGGTAAATTGGAAAGCTTGCACTAAACGTAAAGTTTCATCAACACTACGTCCAACGGGTAAATCGTTCATAGTTATTTGACGTAAATTTTGTTCACGATCAATAATGAATAGACCACGGAATGGAATACCAGTTTCTTCATCGAGAACACCATAGTCACGTGCAATTTTCATTGATTTATCAGCCAATAATGGTATATCCATTTCGCCTAGACCACCTTGACGACGTGCAATATTGCTCCAAGCCAAATGGGTAAAATGGCTGTCGGTAGAGCAAGCAATTACATCACATCCGATGTTACGGAATTCAACAGCACGATCGGAAAATGCACAGATTTCCGTTGGGCAGACAAAGGTGAAATCCAACGGATAAAAGAATAGAACTAGATATTTTCCTCTGTAATCATGTAATGAAATTTCTTTAAAGGCACCCTTGACAACAGCGGTTCCTTTAAAGAATGGTGCTGGCTTTTGAAGCTGTGGCATCTAAAATTAAAAATTTAGAAAATTAATAATGGAAATATATAAAATAAAATATGGTAAATTTTTTTAGTTATTTTTATCAATTCATTCAGGAAATGTTATATTCGCGATGTTTGTATGTATATACGAAAAAAATTATGACAAGTCATCGTTTTTGCAAAATAGAAAAAAAATAAAATATTAATTTACACGTCCACCAAACTTTCTTTATAATTGATTTTGTGCAGATGCTGGTAATGAAGTATAAAGTCTATTAAAATGAAATTAGCAAGTGGAGTTAAAAATTTCCCCAATTTACGTTGGCAAACCAAATATCCGGGTTTTTTTTTGTTATATAACAAATTTAATGAAATAGAAGTAAAAATTATTGTTTGTTTTAAAATAAAAATAATAAATTTAAGCTGTTTCACTACTGATCACAAGTAGAACTAGAAACTAACCATGGACGACATTAACGCGTACTGTACATACAAAGGCTTCGATTGAAGGAAGCTTGTCATTATCAATACTACTCAAAAGTAGTCAAACTTTTTTTTTTTTATTAGATTTTACACAAAACTTTTGCAATTCATTTGCCCTTTAAAGAAGCAACAATAAAATTACATAGAAAGACGCTGTAACGTGTCAGTGCAAGCATTTGCTATTTTTTTTTTTTTTGTTGCTGTTAATTATTAAAAATTATGCAAAGAAAACCAGTTTCGGTATTGAAAATACTACAAACAAAAAAAAACTATATACAAGCACACGGAAATTGCTTTCTAAATGTCGTTTGAAAATGATCGGAGGGTGAAGAGCAGCAACAGACGAGATAAATCAAACACAATAGCGGCATATTTTTTTTCTTCTACAATATTCCATAAGAAATAGTTGTTGTTTCGCCAACAACAAAACGTTTGCGAAGTTTTGCAAAAGCCATCGCAGCGTCAGCAACAATTGTTCATTTCTATACTCGTCATCTTAATTTTGAAATATATTTCACAATTTTCAAATATATAAAGTAAGTTATTTTTACATAAATTTCTTTGTTAATTTTCACCCTTTATATATCGCCATGTTAGTTTCATGTAATCACATTTTCAAGCAAGGTCAATTAAACATCCACTAAAATTTTAGTACATTAAAAAAACTACTTACTGTAAATTGTATTTTTTCTGTAAATTTACTTATAAATTGCGAAAAGAACATACAAGTTTGTTCTTTACTTCAAATTTTATTGTTAATTAAGCAGCGAAAAATGACTTCCGATGAAACCAACAAATTTCTATCAAACCGTCCCACACGACTGTCGAAAAACGAATGCTCAGCACCGCGCCGCGTTTTTAAACCTCAACACAATTTTAACAAAAGAATGTGCGCCAAAAGCAAAGCAAAAAAAAATATGCCGGTAAAAGCTGAAAAGCTTTTCATTTTGCAAACGAAAGTTACTTTTAACAATGTTGTATTTTTTATCAATACTTTTGTAATTATAAATAAATTATTTATGTACATAAATAAATAGTTTGTTACTTACCAAATTGGAATTATTTTCCCCCATAAAAGTTATGCTCACTTTAAAAATAAATGTATTTAAATAAAAATTTTTTTGTTTTAGCTTAATATTATTTTCTAAGTTTACTTTGATTAGCATGCTAGCTTATTTCTCTCGCAAGCTTATCTCTAACGAATTTTAATAGTTCCGTTAGGGCCATGTTATGCAGAGTGTCTCGGGCACGGCAAATTACACTCTTTCGGGTTATGACGAAAATGCATGTTATGCAGAGTGTCACATCAGTATTGCCCATTTCGTATTTTTACAATGTTTTGAAACTTTTTGGTTGCGCCTAAAATTAAAAGGAAATTTAAACAGACTCACTTTCAATTTGCCACCAAAAAACCTAGCAAGAAAAAACTCATAGAGGCTGTAATAATGTTAATTTATTATTACATTATCTTACAATAATTATGAACAGTACTTAACAGTATTTACGCCTTTCTTTAAAACAGGAAAGTGTAATAATTATATTTATAAAAAAGGGCTGTGTTGCTTGCTGCCATTTTTTTTCCAAAGCGTATTAGAATTGTAGTAGTTTGCTCCTAAAAGCCGCAAATTTTGAAATCTATTACTAAACAACACTGTTTTGCCTTAGTGCCGGGGCACAAATACGCCGGCTCTCATGCCGAAGTTTGAACGGCCATATTGTATTTTTTCTCATTCTCAAATTTAAAATTTGCATTGAAAACAACAACAATTGTACTCATGCCGTGCCCGAGACACTCTGCATAACATGGCCCTTAAAATTGTTTTTTTTCTCCAGCAGAGTTTATAACGTGTTTTTATAAGCGCAATAAGTTAATATTGATAAGAAAAGCAGTAGAGTTTATTCTTAAGAACACTGAACTATTCTCTATTAAAAGTTTTAACACGTTCTTACTGTCTCATTTCACTAATGAGCTCTTTGATTTACCATACAAAGAGCTTTCATACAAATGAGCTGATTTACAATAAATCAGCTTATTTTAGAACAAAAATGTCGAATGCAACCCTTAAAAATAAATTTCCCACAAGGGAAAAGACCAAAATTTGAAGTATGTGTCACATATTTTTTAATATAAAATGTAAACAAACAACAGCTGTGCTGTAAACAAGTGCACAGAGAAAGTATTATATAAAATCTGTTTTTATTAACTGAATATGTAATTGATATATAAAATGTACATAAATGACTTAATTATATATTTAATTCTTTAGTGTGATATAATATTAAGTGAATTTGGTTTATTTCAGATGTATCCCTGTAAATGACAAAAAGAAGTACGTATTTCTGCGTTTTTCATTTTGATATATTTATTTTACACAATACCGATATTTTTCTTTGTGTTTTATTTGTAAACAAAAGAAAGTACTTTTATAGGTTTTTTAACATAAAAAGTTCTAAAAGCTGTATAAATGAGCTCATTAAGGCTTCCGCATTTATATAAATGAGCAAGTGTATAAATGAGACAGTGCAAACATAGTATTAGGAGGTTATTATATCCAGTAATGAGGTTGATTCATATAAATGTGCTAATTATAAATAAATCAGCTTATTTAATGCGAAAACTCCATGTTTTCATTTGTTGTTTTGCTTACATTTTCTACTGTACGTTTTCTAAGTACGTTTAATTTTTATTTTTTTCACCGTATTATTATTATTATTTTGCATGTAAGTTGAGCGGATCATTGCTTGCTGAAACGCAGCTAATATTACCATCAGCTAATATAAAACGTCGCTTAAATTCTGAAGCGATCATGGTGGCAAGAAGTCTATAATGTACTATAAACAATTGAAATAAGATCACAAAATCACTTTTAATCACTATTGCGCTCGATTTATCCATTCAAAGATACATTTAAAGAAAAGAATGGTAGATGACAGACCATATGTTGCTGTATAAGTTACATAATAGTTCTGTTCCCCGAACTGCTCGTAGTAAAACTCGAGTTAAACACAAGTAAAGTAAAAATTGAGATGTAATACAAATAAATTGCCAAATTATACTCTTTACACAGATTTTTATAGAACAGGTTTATGTAAAATCTGGTATGAACACCAGTGCCATGCAAATAAATAATACAAAAATTTAAATTCAAACCCAAACAACTGATTCACACATCACACAAATTTTACTTCAAATAAAATGTACGATGCTCTCATTTACTCGAAAATTTGCTGGTGGAACACACTTGTGTATACACAGTGTTACTTAAAGTTACTTAAAGTTACTAAGAGAAGCTCGTGTAACAGACCTATTATTTGACACCGCTGATATTCATCAAATTACCACATAGGTATTATCTCTGTCTTGCACGAAATGCATATAGTCAATACATAAATTAACAAGAAATTAAAAAAAAAAAAAAAATAAAAATAAAAAATTGAGTTTTACTGCTAAATATGATTTATATAGGGTATAGGGTACTACATAGGATACTATATAATGTACCCTATTCTTGTGGACTTCAAGAATAGTTGTTAAATATGCTTGTTTTTTCTATTGCACAGAGTTAGGGGTCTTAGATATATACTTATATTATTATTAATCTTAAAAAGTAAATTACTTAATATTTTTAGTAATTATTTTATTTTTTTTATCGGAAATGCTATTTTAATCAGTTAAAAGTTATTTTTCCTAAAATTATACTATGATAATTTTATTGTAATAATGTGTAATAATACATATATTGTTTATTGTAAATAATATATTTTTAATATATAATGTGTAACAAAAAAAATAATATATAATATAGTAAATTATACATACTTTTAATATATTTTTATATTTATATTATTAATAATTTACAAAAGTAAAATCACCAAATATATTAAACGTATAATTTTTTTTAACAGTAATTATGTTTTTAATAGGTAAAAAATATATTCCCTAAGATTATACTACAATTTATTGAATATTTACCACACACAATTTTCAAATTTTGTTGCACACTGTAAAAAATTGTCTTGCAATAAAAACAAAATAGTCTTTTTGTTGTAAAAGTAACTAAAGCCCAAGTAAATAAATAAAAAAAGCAAAACAAAACAAAAACAATAAAGTCGAATGATGACGTTTTACTCACACATATTGCACAACTACAACTACAAATACAAAGGAACAGAGCAGTTGACGCCATATTGCGAACGTTGTGTGAAAGCACAGTAAAGTTGTCGATATCTGGCAACACTATGTATCATACTGAGCTTAATGTATGAGAGGTACGGGGATGCGCTTTGCTGTTGCTTCTGTAGCTGACGAGCTCGCCTTTGCTGCTGATGTCTTTTAAAACACAAATGACACCACACTTTGTTGTACACACACTAAATACAGAAAAATGTGAAAAAATGAAAAATATTTTCATTGCAAGTTAAAATTGAACGGAAAGTGTTTATTTTTTAAAGTTTTTATAAATTTATTTGTAAATACCAACGAAATGTGTTAAGATTATAGTTTTTTACGGGGAAAACGTTATTATCGAAAAAGTGGTAGCGAAAATTTTGTGCTGCCGAGGAGAGGAGGATATACGCAAGGATTAAAGTACAACGAATTCATTTTTTATACCTGGAAAAAGTTTCTATGCTAGAGTTAGCAAGCAGATGGAGATAAAATATTGAGGAACGCTGACAATTTTAGAATTTACGTTATAATTTATTTAATAAAATTTTTGCAAAATATTAAAAAAAAAATTTCTTAGAAAAAAAAAGCAAAAAAGGAAAATTGTCTGAGTGTTTAAAGGCTTTAAATTTTTTTAAAGCAGTTTTCCGCACAAATGAATATGCTACACACCTTTAGCGGTGGCGATAATTGCGGTAAGTTAAATTCCAAAATTTTATATAAAATTTCTATTATATTTTAGTATTTACATAAAAGCCTGTATCATTTGGGCATATAAATAGAAGGACATTATGTATACGCTGTATATATGCCTAATTACGCTTTTATCGCAGTCATTAATTTTCCTACACATCATTACTGCTTCATTGTTGTTGCTATTGCCTGGCCGTCAAGCGGAGCTTCCATCCCATAACAGCAAAAAATTGTAAAAAATCTTAACCTTCATTTTTCAGATTTTATTGAATTTATCACGCACGTTTGAGTGTGTGTTTGCGGGCGTTGAGTGCGGGACCAAATGTTTGTGTGTGTGTGCATGCAATTGTTTGTTTGATATGGTATGTAGTATACACACACATATTGTGGCATAGTAAATGAGCAGTTAACGGTCTTTTAATATCAAACATATGGTCGCCGCCATAAAACGGCGTATAAAGAAAAATCAAACAAAAAGCGCAAATGCAGAGTAAAATGGAAAAACCAAAAAACAAAAAAAAAGAAACCCACAAAAACAGAAAAAAAAACACAACAAGTCATCATACTACGCATAGAAGCTTTTGTAGTGTGGAGAGAGAAAGTGAAACTTGGAGAAGAAAACAAAATAACAAAAACAACATTAAGTAAATAACATACAGTCTGCTGACATTTACGCCGTACATCAGCTGTTCGTTCGGCTGTGTATATGTGAGTTCGGTTGCGATGCGTTAGTGTATGTGTGTTGAGTATGTTTGGTGTCTGCTTGGTTTTCACAACTTATCTTGAGTTGTGATACTACGCTGCTTGCCATTGTGGGTGGCGGCCCGTTCTGGTTGTTTCTAGGATTGTTTTGAATTTGAAAAGTTCGCACAACGTGAGCACACAAATTCAAGGGAGTTTATCAGCATCGAGATGAAAGTCAAGGTTCTGCTGTTGCCCTAAGATTTGTTGTGTGTACTTCGTCCATGGCGTTTCTATGATTTCTCCTCACTTTTGCTGGGTACCTACACTTTCATATGCACCCGTGTACATTTTTTATTGTTTTTTATTTTACATAAAGACTTGCGTCTATTCACTTTAATTTGTTTCTGCTCACAACAATAATTCAAACTTTGTGATTAATGAGAAAAGTTTCAACGGCTTACCTTTATTCCATTTTAGATCGTTTTTTTATTCTATTTTATTGACAACATTATGGAATTATATTTTAATTTTTGTTGCTGTTAACTGTCACATCCAAAAATGTTTTCAGCACTCAATTTCTTTTTTGTTTTGTGATTTTTTTTGGTCTTTTAAATGTCAGCTCGGCTTGAAATTTGTATAAATGGTCTTACGGTTGGTATATTAGAAAAGTTGAATGAGAGGAGGGGTAGGTGTATAGATTGCATGTAACAAATATCTGTTAATGTTGTTTGACATTTGGTTTTTAAAGTAGTTAAAGGAAACTCACAATATTAAACGCAGAAAAAACAAACCTCGGTGCCCTTTTATATGTAGATATCGATTGAGTTAGAACAAAGCCTGTACTTTTGGTAAAAGTTGCTGCAATAAACTTGATATATGTTCGGTATTACTCAACTTTTTTTAATTTGAATTAACATTTCCAATTTGTAGTGTTGTGGTTTAGCAACGATGAAGTGTTATTTAATATTAGCAGTTGAAAAAGATCGGTATATTTCATGTTATATATTGTCTAGGATTAATAATACTGGTTAGGTTAGAATGGAGTGGTACCACTGTGCCAAAAGTTCAGTCGAGCCATGGATTAGCGGGTTCATAGTAGGTTATAGGTCAGCATCCCAACAAAGCTGAAATGAAACAACCTGACAAATTAAATTGTAGTGGCGGCTTTGTGCCCACAGTCCACTTGAGTTCATGGCCCATTGTGATACCACAGATACTACAGTCATATGTCAGACCGTTTCTGTCTTGAAACTTTATGCTACCTTGAATACTTTAAGGTACGGTCCCAACGTTAGTTATGAGTTTTTTTTTTAATTGTTTTCGTTAGGTTCAGTTCAGATCTCGTTCGGGTTTTTTTATTTTTTTGTTCTATTTTATTTTGTTATATTTGCACTTTAGCAAAGCTGCCAACTCTACTATCCAGAAGCTGCAAGTTGCTCAAAGTCAATCTCTCCAAAGACTCTTCAAAGTACCTTGGTATATCCGCACAAAAAACATGCTAAGAGACTTTAGAATAGACATGGTTAAAAAATATATAAGCACTGTCTAATCTCAGAATAATCTCTAGCAGCACGGGGCGGTAGGCAGATCTTAGATTAATCATCGTATAATCACGAAGCTTTTGAGGAATACATAAATTACTCAGTGAGAAGGGTGGGACTCTGCAGATACCCCCCAGCTATCAAAGAACAAAAGTCCCCAGATGTACTAACTTGGAAAAGATTCAACATGAACATGAACTTTAGATAATTTCAAATTTTTTAACAGTAAAAATCATTGCATAGTTTTAGGTAAGAATATTACTTTAGAGGATGGAGTGGTCTTGAGCTTATTTGCATGTACTTTTTACTTAAAATATTTATCGATATTAGAAATGTTTAATATAGTGTACAAAATTAAAATTTTATTTTAAATTTAAATAATTTAATTAAAAATTTTTTTTTATTTTAATGATAGGATTTAAATTAAATATATTGTTGGAAGTAGCAATATCAATCGAAATCCAGATTTTCAACAAAAAATCTAATCAAATTAAATCCTTATACTATAAAATTCTCAAAATTTCAAAATATCATATATATAAGGATTTCGACAATATTAGATTAGGAAATAGTACGAATCTGTGCTTATGCTAAGAACTGTGATCATATTATACATTTTGTGCTGTAACTAACCATGTTATATTAGCTGACTAACCATATAACTAATCATATAATATGTAACCATATTATATATTTTGTGCTCTAACTAACTGTAACTGAATGGAAGAAATTCAGTTTTTCTAGTGAGTGCCAGCACCTGATTGAGGTGTAATTACTATTAGAAGAGGACGCATTGATCTGCTTTTGTATAGATAAAAACAGTGCAGTCATTAAGATTATAACTAGAATGCTTTCCCATCCAAGAGATTTTATGTGGCCTAAGAAAGACCCATCTTATTGAGAATTCAGCGTGTCAACCTTGAATTGACAACAGATTTCAATACATTTAGCTATTTTAACCGATTTTGGCCAATATGCCGATATAGTTTTCTGCTGGAAATAACGAAGTTTTGAAATATATACGAGAAATCTGTATCTACTACGAACCTGCATGATGCTTATTGGGGTACATTCATAAGAAGCAATATAAACATATTAGTAATGTAAATCGGAGTGAGTTAATTCAATAAAAATCTTAGTTCTTAGTAGTATCACGACTTAAGGTTAATATGGTGAATAGACACTGAGTTTTCCATTTCAGTTAATAGATTTTGTTAGAGCTAGAACTACGGACTATTTAGTCCTTAGCGGTATAATGACTCAAGACTAATATGGTTAATAGATTTGTTATCCTATCGAAGACTAATTATTCACCTCGAGAGCGAATTAGCTAGTTACCAAATGGATCGCATTACTGCATTGGCTTATGACTATTGTCAGGTTTTCTTGAATTTCTATGTGGTTAGCAGATAAAATATTATTTCTTATAAGTAAAATTAGAAGTGTGATACTCGTGTACTGATAGTTCAACCTATTTTATAAGTTAATTTTCTATGATTTGTATTTTGTGTTAGATTAGTTATGTTGACAGCTACTATCACTATTACTAGTACAATTATTATTATTAATATTATAATTTATATGTTAACTTTAATTTCCAATTTTAATGTTTAAAATTAAATGATTTTTTACTTTGCTTAAAATTTTCTCAAGAAAATATGAACATCATAACTTTTATTCCAACAATAAACAGTTTCAAGGTTTCATCTAAATGAATTCCGTTTCATTAAATCGAATTACAAGTGATACTCGCTTTTATTGAAAGAAACGGGCAATATTGAGTTTATTAATACATACTCATCGGTAAAAGCATTTACTTCGGTCCTTAATCACATAAAATGGCAATGAATTTATGTCATTATTTCCGGCCTTCAACTTCGACCAAAGGCAAAAGTTTCATTTACTTTTTTCCGCTTAGTTTATGAGAAGGCGGATGTGAGTACTGATTGACAAGAGCTGAAGGAAAAAAGTTCCAAGTAGTTATTCTCCTTTTGAAATCGTCATTAAATTATTGGAGTGAAATTTTAAATAATTTTTTTGAAGTGAAATTTATTTAACTAAACCCGACACTGATAAATTATGAGAGGTGTTTTTATATAAGTATATAATATAAAGTAATATAATTCATTTAAGTTTATAACGTCCACATAAGTCTATTGTCGACATATTACTACCGATTTTACATAAATTGGTATCAAATATATACTTGCTATATAAAAAAAAAGTAATTTTATTAATATATAATATGACATTGATTAATTATGAGAGATTTTTTGAATGAGTATAAAAAATTATGTACAATAATTCCTTTAAGTTTATAATATCTAAATAAGTCTCTTGTCAATCAAATAAATATACTTGTTACATAAAAAAAGGAATAATTTTATAAACATATATCTTCAATTTTCTTTCCAGATTCTGAATTAAAGGAACGCCTTATCGCCACCGTAAAAAAGGAAGTAAAACAATTGATGGAAGAGGCTGTTACCAAAAAGTATATACATGAGGAAAGTAGTTCAGTAACTTCACTTTGTGGAGCTGTAGAGGCATGTCTCAGTCACGGTTTGCGTCGACGTGCTTTGGGGCTTTTCAAGACCTCGTCGACTACTGCTCTTATACAGAAAATAGCTAAGACATGTCCAGAAGCAGATTATGTAAGTCGACGCTTGTTAGAGATCGAATTAGCAAATGAATGCAATACAATTGCTGGTAAACGTTCATGTTCGAGCAGCGATAGCATCATTAAACCGAAGCTATTGAGCAAGGGTAGCAGCAGTTCGGTTACAACGATTAATACTATGTCATCAGGAACATCGGTTTCAGCACCTGTCGTCAAGTGAGTATTACAAGCTTCGCAATCATCATTTGGCGAGATATTAACCAAGCTCGTTTTACTCACCAGGTACCTGTGGATACGCTTGGCATTATATGAAAAGCGCTTATCTAAAATTATAGAACATCTCGTAAATAATGCAAATAATTATTATGATCGAGACGCTTTAGTTGCGGATCCAGATTTTGGTTCTATTTTGAGTTCACTATTAGTTGGT